AACTTATGTCGTCCTCTATGATTCATTTTGACGATCATGAAATTCCTGTCCTGTCTCATAACACTTACATTGTACTTGTTGTTTCTAGTTCGATGCATCAAAGTTGAGAAAGCTCAGGCCAAGTTTCAAAAGAAAATGGAGGTTCTGTAACTGCAGGGAATGCTTCTAGTATAAGGTTCAGTGAATTCACTCATTATTTGTTTCTATTTGCTCAAATTATAATTAACACATACACCATATGTATATATGTGTGTGTATGTGTTCTGGGCACGACATTTGACAGACTACTCATTGAGTATATAGATGAAGTTGACTTGTGACATTGTTTTGATTCCCCACTTTCTTATATTAGTGTGACTGGTTGAATGAGTTCTTTTCAGATATGACATAGCCGAGTGACTAAGAAATATTTCATTTGAGCTTGAGTTTGTATCTGCTTTTAGAATGGAATTGTGGTCTATCAGGTCATTTGTCATCTGTTCTCATTTGTTTGTACTATGTTTGTCGAAAATGTTAGGAAAAAAAAGGCTACTGGCCCCACTCATTTGACAGAATAGGCTATCAACACTTGAAATGGGAATTATTCCACTAAGAGTTCTTATTGTATGTAGTGATGGCTGCTGCTTTAATTCTCGTTAGTGGAGCTATGGCAATTAAGCTTGGATTGAATGTTATTGCCAGGATCAAAGGTTATGCAGACGCAGCACAGGTGGCGTGCTAATTTTTAGTTTCATTTATTATACATTTTCTGTTGCGTATATTACTAACCTCGGCTGGGGTTACGAGTATCACCGACCTATTTAGAATCAACTATTGTTTGTTTTATTCTAAGTAAGTTTTGCCTGCATTTTGAGAGATTAGTGTTACGGATCTTATTAAATCATTTGTTTGGCAGGCACCTGAACTGTTCACAACTGCTCCAGCCATCGCCATACCAAAGGCAATCGTTAATGCTGGCTTGAAAGCATCCGATATTGATTTCTATGAAATAAATGAAGCTTTCTCTGTGAGAATCTATACTCTGAATTCTCTTTAAACAGTTAAATGGTAATCTTTCTAATATAAACCTTTTGCAGGTTGTAGCTCTTGCTAACCAGAGGCTGCTTAATATTGACCCCGTAAGTTGTGATGTTTGCTGCTTCCATCTCATTTGATCTGTCAGATCAATTAAACTGTTTTTTTCACTTTTTGTGGCGATTTTTAACTTGAAGATCTTTTTTATCTTATTACTCTAGAAAAGGTTAAATGCACATGGTGGTGCCCTGTCCCTAGGACACCCTCTGGGCTGTAGTGGGGCTCGCATCTTGGTGACACTATTGGGAGTGTGAGCACTTGGCTTTTTCTAAATTTCTGCCCACATCCTTTATTCTCACGTGAAGTGTATTCTTTTTGGTCTCTTATGCATAAGTGGATATTTTAGGTACTGAGACACAACAATGGGAAGTTTGGTATTGCTGGGATATGCAATGGTGGAGGAGGTGCATCTTCTTGTTCTTGAGCTCATCAACGATAGGTGAGATTCACAAGATGGAAAAAAGGAACATTTTTTTAACATATTTTTTTATATATTTGTTTGCTAATTGCTCCTAATGCCCCCAGTGATCACAAGGCATTCTTGTCACCATCTTATTCTTTTTTTTTTTCCTGATGCTTTTGTGTGTGTTCCATTGAGACAAGGCCTTATGTTTTATGCAGGCCTGTGGGGAGGGTGAGGGTGGCACCGTCAATGTATGAGGTCATTAGGTTCGTGTTGTACTGTCAATATATATATAGAAGTATATATTTTGTTTCATAAATTTAGTTTTATGAAATATGTGAATATATAATTTTATAGAAGATTTAAATTACCTATAACAAAGATATGATATAATTTTAATTTTTATAATTTAAATTATTAATTTTATAATTATAATTTTAAATTTTATAATTTTTAAATTATAACAAATATGATATAATATCATTTTTAAATTATATTATAATTTTAATTTTATAGAAGATTTAAATTATATTATAACAAAGATATGAAATATTAATTTTTACAATTTGAACTTTTTTTTTTCCTCATTTTTAATTCTATAATAAAGTGTTGGGTGGGTTTGACGTTTCAGTCACTCAACTCGCATGTTTTTCAACTTTCCAATTTTTATAAAAAGTTTTTTCTTTATGGGGTCCATACTTAAAATTTTACGATCGTGTCGATCAAAAATTTACTCGTGTTTTTACTCGCTGAAGTCAGAATTTTACTAGTGTGATCACGCTCAGCTCATTATTTTACAATGTGCTCAGCACGCTCATTACTTGATGAGCACGAATGTAACTCCTATATAAATCATATATTCCTATATAAAGACCGCTTCTCAGCAATCTTTTCAAAACACAAAAAACAATGTCTTCTTCTACTTTCTCTTTTAATATGAACATTACCATCAACCATAGTAGGGACTTGTTCGTGGGCTCATCCTCTGCCCCTGCCTCGGTTGACTTCCCATTGACCAAGTCCTACAATGGACTGAAGGTTGCTCCTCCACGCTCGATCAGCCCTAAGATCAGCCCTAAGGTTAAGCGCAAGGGGGGCAAGGGGGGTTCGGGAGGGGCTAAGCCTAAGGGGTTTAAGCCGGGTTCGCCTAAGGGGCTAAGGGGAAGAAGGGGGCAAAGGGGAAGAAGGCATCCGGTTTTTCAGCACCGAACCGGATGCCTTCTTCCCCTTTGCCCCCTTCTTCCCCTTACCCGGCTTAAACCCCTTAGGCTTAGCCTCTCCCGAACCCCCCTTGCCCCCTTGCTTAGCCTTAGGGCTGATCGAGCGTGGAGGAGCAACCTTCAGTCCATTGTAGGACTTGATCAATGGGAAGTCAACCGAGGCAGGGGCAGAGGATGAGCCCACGAACAAGTCCCTACCATGGTTGATGGTAATGTTCATATTAAAAGAGAAAGTAGAAGAAGACATTGTTTTTTGTGTTTTGAAAAGATTGCTGAGAAGCGGTCTTTATATAGGAATATATGATTTATATAGAGGAATATATGATTTATATAGGAGTTACATTCGTGCTCATATAATGAGCGTGCTGATCACACCGTGAGCGTGCTGATCACACTAGTAAAATTCTGTTTTTAGCGAGTAAAAACACGAGTAAATTTTTGCTCGACACGATAGTAAAATTTTAAGTATGGACCCCATAAAGAAAAAACTTTTTATAAAAATTGGAAAGTTGAAAAACATGCGAGTTGAGTGACTGAAACGTCAAACCCACCCACCGCTTTATTATAGAATTGAAGATGAGGAAAAAAAAATGTTCAAATTGTAAAAATTAATATTTCATATCTTTGTTATAATATAATTTAAATTTTCTATAAAATTAAAATTATAATATAATTTAAAAATGATATTATATCATATTTGTTATAATTTAAAAATTATAAAATTTAAAATTATAATTATAAAATTAATAATTTAAATTATAAAAATTAAAATTATATCATATCTTTGTTATAGGTAATTTAAATCTTCTATAAAATTATAAATTCACATATTTCATAAAATTAAATTTATGGAACAAAATATATATTTCTATATATATATATATATATTATAACACTTACCATGTCCGATCTATGAATCTAAATTCGAAGCGGATCTCTCCAATCCATCAATCAACGGATCTCTCTCCCGCCGGCCGCCGGCAATATATAGATATCAAAAAGAGAGACGAAAAATAAGTATGAAAAAAAAAAGGAAGAAGGAGAGAATTTGAGGAAGAAGAAAAATGCAGGGCGGAGTTATCTATGAGGTTGTTGATAAGGTTTGGGAAAGTGATGATATTATACCAAAAATTCTATGGCGCCCATATGGGCACCATATGGTACCATAATCTTCACAATCTAACGCCTAATATTCATTGTGAAATTGATAGAATGGATATTAGGCGTTGGATCGTGAGATTATGGCACCATATGGTGCCCATATGGGCGCCATAGAATTTCTGGATATTATACCGTATATAAAGGATTTTATTATCCCAACCCTTATAAATGGAGCGTTGACTTTTCTTACGGCTGCACGTTGCTGTACTATTAATATTTGATAGATCCTGTAGGCCCAAACACATCCCTCTCTTACAAACCAACTAATAAATCTTGTGTAATTATTTGTAAAAGTGAAATATCCAACAAATAATTAGCAATATACTTTACTATCTATATAAAAATGTTTGGTATTTACATGAAATATTAATTGTATTCCTGCCTAAAAATTTCATTTTTACCTTTATTAGTATTTTTTTAAAAAAATTTTAAAAAGTGCCGGTCAGCTTTTTGAAATTCAAATTAAAAAATGTCAATTTAATATTTGTCTGGTCAAACATTGCGGCTATTATATTTATTAGTTGTATGGTTTAAATTAGGTATGTAATATATTAACAAAAAAACAAAAAGATTCTTTAAACTAACGAATGTATAGTATGCTATTTTGATGGTCTCATAAAAGTATTCCAAAACTTTAGCAACATCAAAAATCAACGAGGAAGAAAAATCTTAAAGATCATAAGGAATGTATTTCTATTGGATCACGAGGAACATAGCTAAAGTACCACTTTCAATATTGTTTATTTAATTCCAGTACTTATATATATTTCACTACACATTCTTTGGATATAGCCTCAAGACCTATTGAGAATCATGGTCACCTATGTTTTAATTGTTACTATAATAAGATTGAAAATTAGTTGAGAATCAAGAATCTTTAGTCTTTCAAACACTAAAAAGAGATCTCACGATTTTGAGGCGAGTAAGGTTGTCCAAATTCGGCTCGTCATTGGAAAGCACTCGAGAGACTTCCTCTCTCTCACGGTCTTGCCACTCTTGATGCTTGGCGAGCATCACCATTGTCCACACGAGTAGAAGCGAAGTTGTTTCGGAACCCGCAAAGTAGAAGATTCAGCACTCGTGAATCACATCATCGATGCTCATTTTCTTGTCGGTTTGGTTCCCATTTTTGTGAGTTCCGTCCGATTTCGAATTCGACCCCAACAATGTGGTTAGCAAATCATCACAAACTTTTTCTCCCCTTCTCATTGCCTTGATCCTTTGGTCAATAATGCCCCTCAACAAGAACTCGACTTCCTCCGAGTACGCTTTCATTCTCTTGTTTGCCTTGGTCGGGACAAATCTATCGGGCTAATGCACGTAGTTTAAAAATCTTTCTAAGTATAGACAATCTAAAGCATAAGTTGGTATATCATACTAGAAATAAGTCAAGCAATAATAACCTATCTTTTTTCTTCTTTTGTCCGAAATTTAAGTAATTTGCGATACAAAACATCAATTTGAGTTCTCGGAATTAAATTACCTCCATCCAGGGATGAATATGAACTGCAGCAACTCCAAAACGAGCTTCACCATTTCCTTTTGGAGCTCGAAAATCCTTCTCCCTTCATGGCTACTCCCGAATGCGGCCCGAGAAATCACATCGCCCGTCAAGAATCTGTAAGAGTTTCCATGGAGCCTTGATTTCAAAGGATTTTTTCGAGCCTTTTTGGTCTGAACCAAACCCAGTTCAAGATTTTGAGTGTTAATGCTGTCAATCCAAGTAAAAGGATCGAGAAGAAGATTGAGCTTACTTGGACTTCCATTTTTTTATTAGATTATTTTCTTGTTTTTGTGAGTCAAATGTTGTGTGGAGTATATTGATTGATATAGGNGTATTTGGCCATTTGAATTACAAAATAACTTTCTAAAATAGAGGTTCAAAGAGATTATTTATTTAATTTACATTACAATCTTGAGATATAAAGAAAAAATTTTCCATGTCATGAGGCTTCTGAATTATTTGCTGCAATATTTTTCTTTTAGATGACTGACGGGTCACGGACGGGACAGCCCGACAATTATTTCGATATATGCAGATAAAATTGGACTGTAGTTAAATTCAAATGTTGGTTTTTTAATTAATTAATCCTTTTTATTACTAAAGAACAAGAATTTAAATATAAGAAAATTAGCATTAGGTAGGTAGGTCTTTGCTTCGCTATCAAGAAGTTGTATTGGACAATGTTTTAAATACCGTACTATATCGGTCGGTATTACCGGTAATACCGGATACTAATGTCCGACCGGTACGATTACACTCTAAATACTATTTTAGCCAAAATACTGGTTTATACTGGTTTCATACCGAAAATACCGGTTTTACCGGCAAAAATACCGGTTTATGCCAATTTTTTTAAAAAAAATATTTTTAATATATTTTCATTAATTTATTTATTAAATTGAAAGTTCTACACACAATTTTAATATGTTTATATTTTTATTAGATGTTAATTAATTTTATTATGTATTAGTTAAAGTTAATTTTGTACATCATTTATATTCTAATGATAAATTAATTTAATATTTATTGAAACCGATAAAATAGACGGTAATACCGGTTGAACCGGTTAAACCGCATACCGTTAGCTAGTCCGGTATATTTACCGGTACGGTATTTAAAACACCAGTATTGGGTAACCTAGATATTAGGTGAACTGTCTTTCATACATTTTAGAATGAAAATGCATATTTGATATTGTGAAATGTCATAATTTCGTTTATATTATTTTATATAAATTTCAATTTGAATGTATTTATATTTGTCAAAAAACTATATATAATTATCTAACAATAGTCTAACTATGTCGTGAAAACCATATTGGTCACAAGGACAAAAATGGTCCCCTTTTTTCATTGGTTAATAAATATTTTTCCTGAACAAATTAAAATGGTTTACTTAATCTTAATATAATAAAATAAAATCAAGCGTGCAATTTTTTATTTGAAGTATTTGCATGTGGAGAAGGGGGAAAAAATTAAAGAAAATTGTCGGGTCATTATTAAGGCCATGATAAGGTATTTCACTTAAGTAAGACAAACTCGTTATTGCAAATACTTGAAAGTTAGAAAATGGTTGGTTAGTGGATTTTAGTAGAAAAAAAAAAAAACTTTCTAGTTCTTTTTTTTCTTAATATTCTAAAGTAATTTTACATTTACTAAAAAGTCATCCTCGTATTTTTCCATATCTTTCAATTTTTTATTATTATTATTTTTTTTCGACTCTAAAATTTCAAAGGTAAATCCCAATCATTGCAGGAGTGAATACCATATATCATTGCATTCCCATCATCATCTTTATTGTGAAAACTATATATGAATTCTAATGATAATATTGCCTTAGGGCTGATCGTGGAGGAGCAACCTTCAGTCCATTTGTAGGACTTGGTCAATGGAAAGTCAACCGAGGCAGGGCAGAGGATGAGCCCACGAACAAGTCCCTACCATGGTTGATGGTAATGTTCATATTAAAAGAGAAAGTAGAAGAAGACATTGTTTTTTGTGTTTTGAAAAGATTGCTGAGATGCGGTCTTTATATAGGAATATATGATTTATATAGGAGTTACATTCGTGCTCATCAAGTAATGAGCGTGCTGAGCACAGATCACACCGTAAAATAATGAGCGTGATTACACTAGTAAAATTCTGTTTTCAGCGAGTAAAATCTTCTATAAAATTAAAATTATAATATAATTTAAAAATGATATTATATCATATTTGTTATAATTTAAAAATTATAAAATTTAAAATTATAATTATAAAATTAATAATTTAAATTATAAAAATTAAAACNTTACAATTTGAACTTTTTTTTTTCCTCATTTTTAATTCTATAATAAAGTGTTGGGTGGGTTTGACGTTTCAGTCACTCAACTCGCATGTTTTTCAACTTTCCAATTTTTATAAAAAGTTTTTTCTTTATGGGGTCCATACTTAAAATTTTACGATCGTGTCGATCAAAAATTTACTCGTGTTTTTACTCGCTGAAGTCAGAATTTTACTAGTGTGATCACGCTCAGCTCATTATTTTACAATGTGCTCAGCACGCTCATTACTTGATGAGCACGAATGTAACTCCTATATAAATCATATATTCCTATATAAAGACCGCTTCTCAGCAATCTTTTCAAAACACAAAAAACAATGTCTTCTTCTACTTTCTCTTTTAATATGAACATTACCATCAACCATAGTAGGGACTTGTTCGTGGGCTCATCCTCTGCCCCTGCCTCGGTTGACTTCCCATTGACCAAGTCCTACAATGGACTGAAGGTTGCTCCTCCACGCTCGATCAGCCCTAAGATCAGCCCTAAGGTTAAGCGCAAGGGGGGCAAGGGGGGTTCGGGAGGGGCTAAGCCTAAGGGGTTTAAGCCGGGTTCGCCTAAGGGGCTAAGGGGAAGAAGGGGGCAAAGGGGAAGAAGGCATCCGGTTTTTCAGCACCGAACCGGATGCCTTCTTCCCCTTTGCCCCCTTCTTCCCCTTACCCGGCTTAAACCCCTTAGGCTTAGCCTCTCCCGAACCCCCCTTGCCCCCTTGCTTAGCCTTAGGGCTGATCGAGCGTGGAGGAGCAACCTTCAGTCCATTGTAGGACTTGATCAATGGGAAGTCAACCGAGGCAGGGGCAGAGGATGAGCCCACGAACAAGTCCCTACCATGGTTGATGGTAATGTTCATATTAAAAGAGAAAGTAGAAGAAGACATTGTTTTTTGTGTTTTGAAAAGATTGCTGAGAAGCGGTCTTTATATAGGAATATATGATTTATATAGAGGAATATATGATTTATATAGGAGTTACATTCGTGCTCATATAATGAGCGTGCTGATCACACCGTGAGCGTGCTGATCACACTAGTAAAATTCTGTTTTTAGCGAGTAAAAACACGAGTAAATTTTTGCTCGACACGATAGTAAAATTTTAAGTATGGACCCCATAAAGAAAAAACTTTTTATAAAAATTGGAAAGTTGAAAAACATGCGAGTTGAGTGACTGAAACGTCAAACCCACCCACCGCTTTATTATAGAATTGAAGATGAGGAAAAAAAAATGTTCAAATTGTAAAAATTAATATTTCATATCTTTGTTATAATATAATTTAAATTTTCTATAAAATTAAAATTATAATATAATTTAAAAATGATATTATATCATATTTGTTATAATTTAAAAATTATAAAATTTAAAATTATAATTATAAAATTAATAATTTAAATTATAAAAATTAAAATTATATCATATCTTTGTTATAGGTAATTTAAATCTTCTATAAAATTATAAATTCACATATTTCATAAAATTAAATTTATGGAACAAAATATATATTTCTATATATATATATATATATTATAACACTTACCATGTCCGGTCTATGAATCTAAATTTGAAGCGGATCTCTCCAATCCATCAATCAACGGATCTCTCTCCCGCCAGCCGCCGGCAATATATAGATATCAAAAGGAGAGACGAAAAATAAGTATGAAAAAAAAAAGGAAGAAGGAGAGAATTTGATGAAGAAGAAAAATGCAGGGCGGAGTTATCTATGAGGTTGTTGATAAGGTTTGAGAAAGTGATGATATTATACCGTATATAAAGGATTTTATTATCCCAACCCTTATAAATGGAGCGTTGACTTTTCTTATGGCTGCACGTTGCTGTACTATTAATATTTGATAGATCCTGCGGGCCCAAACATATCCCTCTCTTACAAACCAACTAATAAATCTTGTGTAATTATTTGTAAAAATGAAATATCCAACAAATAATTAGCAATATACTTTACTATCTATATAAAAATGTTTGGTATTTACATGAAATATTAATTGTATTCCTGCTTAAAAATTTCATTTTTACCTTTATTAGTATTTTTTTTGAAAAATTTTAAAAAGTGCCGGTCAGCTTTTTGAAATTCAAATTAAAAAAAGTCAATTTAATATTTGTCTGGTCAAACATTGCGGCTATTATATTTATTAGTTGTATGGTTTAAAATTGGTATGTAATATATTAACAAAAAAACAAAAAGATTCTTTAAACTAACAAATGTATAGTATGCTATTTTGATGGTCTCATAAAAGTATTCCAAAACTTTAGCAACATCAAAAATCAAAAATTCAAATTATTTTGTACGCATATGGACATGACAACGAGACTGTTTTATATATATTAATATATATTCTTTTAATGTGAAGACACCAAAATAATGGATGTATTAATTCAAGAACACAAGTTTTTGTGAGGTGGACTCGCCATTAGACGGGTCGACCCATCATACTATTTGAATAGAAATGCATATTTGTATTATTAAAAGTCATACTTCTGTTTATGTTCTTCATAAAATATGACATTTTATAATGAAAGCATGCACATTTGTAAACAAAATATGTCGGCCAATACAAAATTGACATATTCAAGATGGTTGGTGCTTTTAGGAATAAGATTAATTAAATTGTTATGCACTAATTTGACAAAAGGTAGGATTCACCCTAAGTCATACACATAAAATCAAGAATAATTATTTTGTAATATATTGTTCAGAAAATTTCACCATTTACCTTCAAATCTTATTTTATTTTTATATTTATGAATTTTTTATTTTATTTATAAATATCTAACTTTTATAGTTTATATATAGTTTTTTTAATTTTTTTTTTATTTTATGTCTAGTTATAGCTGGTTTATGTATAAATTGGGCCAGTCTTCTTATGAATCAGGTATTTGAAAGCTCAATTAAGTAGAGTTTACAAATGTGGGCTAATTAATTAGGTGAAATGAAAAAAAAACTAGCCCATTTCTGGATAACTGCACAATCTCATGCCTATAACTAAGCCAGCCAATGGCAGTCCTTTTAAATATTTATTATATATATATTTTTTATTTTATTTTTTCTTTACAAACACATGACATTAAAAATGAAATGTATATAAATAATTCATAAACGAGCTATAAATTAGAAAAAATGTAATTTAGGACTCAAATACAAAAATAAATCAGAACAGGGAAAGTTAGTGATTTGCAATTAAAGAAGTTTGTAGGTAAACAAAGTAATTTTATCGACTTTTTTCGCCAATAATCTAAAAATCCAAAAAAATAAAAAAAAATCGATAAAATGAAAGAATTTTCAAATATCGTTGAATTTTCTTTTTTCCACGGTGCGGACCGTGCGGTCAAATTCACTATATTTAATTGTACGGCCAAACACGACAATGACATTTTCTGTTTTAAAAGAATTGAAGCTTGCAATGAATCTAAACCCAACAACCAAAAGTAAATATCATTAATTTCTCCAAACCAATCAACGTTGGACAAATATATATACATATATCAACATATATATATGAGGCTTTTTAGTGAATAAAATTCACCACAATACAATGTTGCATTACAATCCTTCAACTCACTCATTTATTATACCTAAGTTGCAAATTCGAAATTATCGTTCGCCAAATTTTCCGACATTCTCATGTCGGTTTGTCCGGGAGAACTATAATGGTCTTGTTCTCGATAAAAATCGGGATGACAAAGGGTACTCTGAACAATATTCTATTTTTAGGCATGTTGCTTAGTAAAAAATAGGGTTGTATTATGTATTTATGATTTATGGATAAAACGATTACTTGGAGTAGAAAAATGTTGGATTATATGACATGAGAAAATTAATAATACTATAGAGTTTCGTGTGCATATGATTTCATTTTTTATTTTTTATTTTGGTTTGGCAGGATGAAATGGTACCATGAAATGAAATTAGAGGTTCGGGATTACGAATGCAATCGATATGGAGTGGTGAATAATGCCGTTTATGCGAATTATTGTCAACATGGTGAGATTTTATACATGTGTTTGTTTTGTGATTTAAATTTGTTGTTTATTTACAATGGTTAACAATTAGAAACACATGAATATGAACAGGTCAATTTAGATTATCTGAAATGCTTGGCTTAACTGCTGCTGTTGATGTGGTAGTTCTTAAAGAGTTATCACTCAAATACATTGCACCATTGAGGGTATTTTATTTTTATTTTTTAAACATAGATAGTAATTCGATTTTTTTAGGATATTAACTCAATTTTTCTACGATATTTTTTTTTATTCTTTTTATTTGTGTTTGTAGAGTGGGGATAGGTTCTTGCTGTTCGGTTGTACTGTGATAATCTCATTTTCAAGCTGCCAAACTTAGAGGCATGATTTTTTTTTATTTTCCTCCATGATTTTTTTTTATTTTTTAATTTTATGTCTTTGTTTTTTAGATTTTTCTATATACTGTAATTTTCTTTCTATAATTTAGACCCGGTCTCTTTAAGATGGAAAAAAT